TGAATGTTTGAAAGGATACGTTAAAAAATGACAATCATTTTCCTTGATATATATAAACTGGTATAGATTTTCAGTATGTTATTATAAAATAATTTGAAAATATACAGACATTTTAAATGATTCATGACTAGTGTATAATGTAGTCTTAAATAACATTGAATTGCCAGTGACGGCAATGACAATTTCACGATAACATGAACAACCTTATGATTTTGAGTTACTTTAAAGATAACATTGTTGGTGTTGAAATTCTACGAATACCACTTTCATTCTTGATTTATCGCTACCACAATACGAACAGGTCATGTTAATATTGTGTGTAATTTTTTCATCACAAACACTGAAAATTAATATACCATTGGATACAAACCCTATCTTGACTGAAAAATTAGCACAATTCTCAATATGTCCTGTTCGCATCGTGTTTGCGCTGAATTACATGTTAAAATTTCACGATACTTTGTCATATACGCATATTTCTTCATTTCGATATAATTTAAATATCTACAATACACGCCTATCTGATTTTTGACCAGACTACGTAATGAAAGTAAAATCACAAGATCCAATCGCTCCCAGTGAATGAATAAATGAAGCAAAAAAATTTGATGATTCGTTCAACGGCAAAGTCAGACTTCTTTAATTAGATTACACCAGGAATGAGCGCTCCCGTGTCAATCAAAGTCTCCAGAGAATTTGCGAAAAAATTAGCAGGAACAAGGATTTAAAAACTTCGCCAATTCGCAGAAGGAATGAATGATAAGATATGAAATCAGAGAAAGATTCGTGATTGTCAAACAAATGGCACGAACTTAATTGAGATGATTGGTTATGAAGGCGATTTCTCAATGAATTTCAATGCTAATAAAATTGTTAGCGAGGAGAAAATTTTATAAATTTGTTGGCTGACAGAGTGCACGACGACGACAAAAAAAGTGAGAAGAGAAAGGTTCCGAATTATCGACAAGAGTGAAACTCGAGTTTGTCCAGGCATGTTAAGAGCTAAGTTTTCTTTCAAAAGTTTCACTGCAGTGCATGAAGGAATCCTATATAACTCTTAGATAATCTCTGTCAAGAAGCCAAACACAAACTTCGATTAATGATCGACTGTCGACCGCAAAAGTTCAATAAACCAACTTCTAATTAGCTATTACTATGGGTGTAACCCTATATCCTCGATGCTTTCTCAATGAAAAATAACGACCAGACGAAAGACAGTGAAAAATTAAAGCAAGTTCTTTTTTCGTTAATAGAGATGAGAAACAGACTGTAAAATTTATTGCCCTATATATAAAAGTTCCGTGCTTCCGTCCCATGAGCACACAAAGCCTCGGGGGTCGTCATTTGAAAAAAAATACAGCACACACACGGCGCTCGCGTTTCTTTGCTGCACTCTGATTGCAGCTATTAAAAGTCAGTGAATCGAAACGTATTTAACTCGTGACCCCATCGATGAATTTAACTATCGTTAAAGTGCGTATAAGTTTTATTTTTTCAATTATACAATTCATGTTAACGGCTAATGCGTATAAATTACAAAATATAAGGAGTACACTGCATAGGCACGCTCGAACGATGACTGATATACGCAGAGAGAGCAAGTGGATGCGTGCTCATTGACTCGTTTTGCTCGATGTACCACGACATGTACACACATAATCGAACTCGCTAGGGAGGTTCCACGCGCACTGCCGAGGGAGAGAGAGAGAGAGAGAGAGAGAGAGATTAAAAGCCAATACTGTTTCATCGCGATAATTTATAGCTGCGCCGCTGCGCTATGTACTCGCTCAATTGATGTAGTAAAAACGGAGAAGCCAGTATAACAGAAGTCACATTAATGTGCACAGCGATAGTTTGGCAATGCGTTTGCTCAGCGTCGCGCGAACAGTCGAGATTTCGAATAAAAACGATAAGAATCAGTATAGGAAAATCGCTCAATTATACGGAATAAGCGCTTTTGTGGGATGAAAAAATAAACCTGATGTGGTGGCGGTGAGGTACTATTATACGCTTACATCATACAGTATACGACCCCAAACAAATTTACTCGCTTTCGCAAGTTCGAGGTATATATACCCTTACGCTCTCAAGGCTCTTGCGCGAGTTCGTGTACGCACAGTGTGGCGTTGTATGCAGCCATCTCTATACGTATACGTATACGTACGCACGCGCGCCACATATACATGCCTTGCTTTCCTCGCCACTAGCCTGAATATTTATATAGCCAGCTGCAAGAGTACGTTTACAGTACGTATCTCTTCTCGAGCTTCCAGCATGTAACACACACAGCATGCCATTAATCACTCGCTATAAGGGGGAGCTTTGGTCAGCAATGCAAACCTAGGCCGCGCTGCACCCAACATCGTCTCGTTTTCTCTGGTTCATTTTTTTGCTTTTCTCTTTTTTTTTGTCGCAACGAAAACATCACGGTGACGAGGATTGCACGCCGCGCGTTACCCCGAAAAAAAGAGCCCTGCAAGATAAAGATAAAAACTCGAGAGAGAGAGAGAGAGAGAGAAAGAAAAAAAGGCAGAAGATACTGTGAAAGTACTTTAGGAATTTTTGGCTAGAGATGATATTACCACGGGCACCTTCGCGCATGTAAGCGCAATAAAAGCGAGAAAAGCTGCAAAGACCACAGGATTTAATTTACGCGAAGAGCCAGAAAAGTGCTACTTTCGTTTATATACCACATTTTTTTGACTTTCGACCAATGTGACGTATCATTCTATATTATACTTACACGAGCATGGCGCAGGCTCAAAATGTGTAAGCTGCATTTGCTCAAGCTGTTTTTGTAATATCGTACAAACTGCTATAAGTGAAATGCATACATTTGTAAAGTGATTCCGAATGAATAGCGTATAAGACAATAGTACAATTAAACGAAAAAGAAAGAAATTTGTACTTTAAAATGGAGAATAATCGTTTGTAGTATTTTAAATTATAACAATTTTATAATGTAATATAATGTATTAGATTTTTTCTAAAGAATACTATTCATTTCCGACCATGGCAACATGGCATGTCTATCGAACAAAATGAAACCTCAACCAACTATTTTGATTTATCTGATGACTTAGAATTCTACGATAGGTAGCTTAGATCTGTGAAACGCTTAAGTAGAAGATCTTTAGACTTATATCAGTGTAATTAATTGTTTTTAATATCTAACCGGACTGAATATTTTCAAATGGGGCACTGGTAAGGGTCGCCATGTGTCTTCTTCAATAAAAAATTGTTTTCAACTTTCACGACCTAATGTTATCAATAGACATTTCGACCCCCTTTAATCCCTTAACGGTTTTATCATTAATTCGTTGCTTCACTTGCACGAAATAATAAAACTGTATTATTTTTTAAATTTGATTATTATAATCTACCTCCAGATTGAAAAGAAACGTCTAGATTTTTTATACTAGAACCGAGTGTGAAAAATAATTATATAACACGCATAACAATTGTATTGTGTGAACTCTGCCTTTGGGTGTGTTTGTGTTTCAAGCTATAATGAGAATTCGCCATGTTTGCTGTTCAAGCAGGTCAGCAGATGTTGCACACATGACACCTGAGGCGCTTTCTCGATGAAAAGCTCCCAACTCGCAAGCTAGAGAAAAAATTTACATGCTCGCTGAAATTTTCAATGCACTTATATAAAGTTGACTTTACAAGTCTAAGGATGAAAATGTTACGTATCAACTACAAAATACCTCGTTTATTTTTCATTTGTAGGTCTGAAATTTTTGAAAAGACGTTTTGGAAAAGCTGTATATACACCGATTTTTTTTAAATATATTTGAAAAAAATTCAAGTTCATAAATTTTCGTCGTTTTTTCTAGATGTGCTTAAAAATTTCTATGTTTTAAACATTAAGGCAACATTTTTTAATTAAGAAATGATTTAATTGATAAAAAATTTAAATCACCTTCATTAAAAAGTAGACTGGTCAGTATTATTTTCCGAGCATACTACCACGTTTCATTAAAAAAACCTGATATTGTTATCGTAGTCAACTAACGATGTGCGTGTACATAACATGCGTTGTCTTTACATTAGAAACATGAACAAATTTGAATGTGTGCACTCGTGCGAGTACGTCATTTCGATCATTGTCGTAACTATGAATATATACAATATTATATATGTTACCTATACTATATCATACTATACTATACTACCAATAAACATATATGTTTATTGTATGTATAAATTTAGGCTTTCTGTTACAAACACATACTCGACCACGCACATGTCGCTTGCAGGCGTATAAATATTTCGAACATCCCTGGATGCAAAGAGTGTAATCCGTGCTCTAGATGTAGTACAACATTTTAAGATGTTGATACAACTATTTTTTTCGATCGACTCATGTGTAAGGGACAAAGTTGAGCTTCTGTCACGGTATAATTCACCTATACACTTATTCACCCACACATGTATGAACTAATTTTTTTTTTCAACTGCCATATATGTAGAAAGACAGAACAACTGGGTTCTTTCAGAGGATCTTTATATAGTCAGGTTATTGTGCGTTGTTGCGGGTTTCGCAAGGGACGAATTTTCGTCCATCGTGGGTGATACGAAGTACTGAAAGTAGTAATTGGTATATGCAGTTAATTAATACAGATTATGTTCATTGTTAAAGTGAAATCTTAACGCGAAGTGATTTCGGTTTTATTATATTTACCAAAAAACTTTTATCCATCAAACTGGAAAATATAGGAATAAAGCTAAATTAACGAATCCCCTTATCAATCTTACTTATTTTTTTTATTAGTTCCAAAATATATAATTAATTAAAGGACAAATGAAATCGATTATTTATGCATTTTAATATACACTGAACAAACTGCTATCACATAAGTGACTATTTCTTCTGTTAAATTAAAAAAATATATTTACTCATCTATAATTTTGAATATTTGTCTACTTTGTCGAAAATTATATGCATGAAGGTTAGGCATTAACATCAAAATAATACTAGAATTATTTAATTTCAGATGACCTTAACCATAGTGCAGGTTCGAGAGTGGGGCTAGAGCTTTCCTATCATAGGAAAGGGACGAACTGTTTTGGGCTAAGGGTGAGGTAGCCATGAGTCAACCGGCGTGTGGCTGCTTTATATTTTTACTGTTATTGCAACTTTCGATATCAAAATCTCAAACAGGTGAGTGTAAATGCTCGATTCTCAATAGAAATAATCAACTTAAATTGAAAATTGTCACAATTCAGCGAGCGTTTCAATAAAGGCGACCTTTTTTACCTATCGTTAATCGTTCATGTTTATAACGTGATATGGAAATTTACCTGCTTTAAATCAGTACTAGCCCGACTTTCAGCGCGCTGCGCTCTTCTTCTTTCTTATCCCATTTTGCCATTTTTCAATATTTAAAATAGAAAAATAATATAAACGAAGATTATATTATAAACTGTAAACATCAAAATTAGTCTTAAGCCGTCAATAGGTTAATATTACACTTTCTGAACTTACTACAACACTCGTATTTGCACGCTACTAAACAATTTTAAAAATTGCTCACGCTAAAAACCTCACCACTCTTATAGGATAGGATGTGGAAAAATTGTATTTGCACCTATGTAGCGAAAAAAGAAAGTCTCAGAGCACGTGATTACCAGCCTCGGCTTCGCCTCGGCTGATAAATTCTACGTGCTCTGAGACTTTCCAGTTTTTCACTCCCTAGGTGCAAAATATACTAATTTTACTACTAACTTGTAAAAATAACTCAATTTTTTACAATGAAAGTATTGCAGACACTATGCTTAATTAAATTCTTTTGATAATTTAGGATTAATTATGAAATCTCTCATGTAAAATACTGACAAGGAGAGCTTTTCAATACTGAAGCTCCCTGTGCTTTTTGATCCAATGGGCCCATTTTGTAGAGGATCTTCCACATTATAAAAAAATCTTTGTTATTTTCTATATCGAAATAGAAGTACTTGAACAAAAAAATGGGACGATCAAAAGTTTTTAAATTTTTCAAAGAATCTGCTTGAATTTTTTCAGAATTTTTGGGACCATCTATCACTTAATTCAAGAGGCCCAAATTGGACGCTTTTTTAGTAGATTTTGGGATTTCGTAAAGAGATAGGTAGATGGTCCCAAAAATTCTGAAAAAATTCAAGCAGATTCTTTGAAAAATTTTAAAACTTTTGATCGTCCCATTTTTTCGTTTCAGTACTTCTATTTCGATATAGAAAATAACAAAGATTTTTTTATAATGTGGAAAGTCCTCTACAAAATGGGCCTTAAGGCCCATTGGATCAAACTAAGCACAGGGAGCTTCAGTATTGGGTACCAAGAGACCGCAAAAAAAATTCTGGAGCAAATCCATGACCCGCACCAGAAAAGCTCTCCTTGTGAGTTATACGAGAAAACTATGATATACTAAATTTTATAAAACTTCAGTAGTCTGATAGTTTTACTGCAATAAATTATTACACATATTTTTATAACTTCCCAATTAAGCTTTTATTTTAAAAGAAAAGTAGGTGTTCAATAGGAACATGTATTCATTTGTTTCTATCATTAATTGAAAAATGTAAAATTGAATGACCAATATGCAATATTGTAAAGTTGATTCGTATGTAAAACTTTGATAAAGGTTTTACGGTCATAGAATTTATTCGTATCAATTAATTTAAGAATACGAGAAAATACGGAAAAAATATTAAAACTTTATGTCGCAAATATTTTTCTGAAAAAAGTGCAAAACATACGGAATAAAAGTGCGTGACTACGAATGACTGATGAGACAAAAGAAAAAATTTTGCATACCCAAGACACGTCTATGGCACCTGCTCTGAAAATCTGATTGTTATATTTTATGCTTCATTTTTGTTACTTTAGTTGTGCTCGTATGTCAAAAAAGTAAAGTTAAGAAATTTGAAAAAATCACTAATGTATTATCAAGTAATAACATATGTCAAAACTATAAAAATGCATAAAAATTTAATAAATTTACCATTGCACTAGGTATCAAATCGGAACTATAAAGATATAAAAAGCAATTATTTACAATGAAATGATAAATATTAACTATTATAAATATGTAATCTATTAATACAACTAAAAATTCTTGATATAACTATAAATATATACTTTCTTCTTACGTACATTTTAGTGTACAGTTTTAAATATACAATAAAGTGAGTGATATTCAATTTGAAAAAAATGACAAACTCTAAATGGAGTGCAACTTAGTTTTGACACATAATATTATATAATGTAATAATAATTAACATTATTCAAAATATTCAATGTAACACATAGTCCATAAATAACAGACATTTTCTTTGATAAGTCTTCGACGGTAAATGTAGTACATGTAACATCCGACATTTCTTTACTTTCTTGTGGTATTGTACAGGTTTTTATTTTGCTATAGGAAAATGTCAAAAAGCATCATAAGGCAGAATTCTCAGAATATTCTCTCCTGCTATCCCTTTTTACACCGCATCTTATGTCAAAAGAGAAGTTACGCGCGTACTTTTCTCTCGAATCTTTATTTTTGCTCAGAACTAGATACCTTGCGAACAAAATCCCATTAGAGTGTATAGTGATAATACTTACACGAGGTGTAGACGAAAAAAGCAATAAAAGCTTTCACGGAAAAACAGGCTAAAATTCCATTAGCCAAATGCTATGTATTCTTCACAAAAAATATTTTAAATAGCAATAATATTTATATTTGAATGCTTTCACAGATTTGTCAATTAATGCCTCGACAGAAAAGGTTACAGCACCGACAGTCTCGATGAAGTCTGAAAATCTAACCATAACGAAGAAAGCATCCATGACGACCATCAAACGTCAAAATAGCGGTACAGATTCGCCGATGCTGAATTACATATTTGACTCACATAGTCACAGCAAGCATCAGCATTATCATGATCATCGTTGGGGCCCTCATTTTGAAGGCAAGAGCACAAATATAACAGCTCAAGCCGGAGCCAATGTCACGCTCGACTGCAGGATATCACTGCTTCAAGATAAAACAGTAAGCATATAAATGGAATTTTGTCTCGTAAAATATGCACACTCATAAAAAAACTCTTGTGGGTTAAGAGAGTAGAGACTTTTTCAGAGTATATAAAAATACAGCCAACATAAAGTAAAGGCAACTTGCATTCTTTTCTTTTATTGGTTGACCTGCAGAAAGTCATATTAAACAAATAAAGTACGAATTATGGTCTCTGTATTTGATGGAATTGTTGTTTGTGATATTAGCAAACAAATATTTTTACACTATTTTCTATTTAAGAAAAACTAATTTGAAAAATGATTATTCATGAATAATATAATGGACTAAAAAGATGAACGTCAATCTTTTTCTATAATCATACTATTTTTCAAACAAAAGTATTATAAAGACCATTTGAAATAAAAAAAAATATATCTATTATAGACTTTATTGATCTGTCACGCTCCAATACCTTTAAGTCTGCCTTTTAATTATCTAAATTGTTAACTTTTTCTCGCGCTTAGTACCGTATAATAGATAGAATCAAATTGAAATTGGCTAATTGAAAAAACGGGTTTAACTTGACGATTCTTTTATTATTCAAGTATTGATTTTATTACTTACTATAAAAAAAAGACAACTTTTTTAATGGTCTAACGGTTATTATTATTATTATGCAAATGATGTGACTTTCATCTATTTACAAGTTCGTTATCCTTATTTGTTTAAGAGGTAAAGTTGATCTTTGATCAAGCTTGATGAAAGTTCTTATTTATATAACACCTTAGACTAATCATGTTTTTCTCGCATAGGTATCTTGGGTGAGACATCAAAACAGTGACGAAAAAATGAACTTACTAACTGTTGGTCAGCAAACTTATACTGGTGATTCAAGGTATACAGTAGAATTTCAGTATCCAGACAATTGGAGACTGCGAATCAAGAGTGTCAATAGCAGCGACGAAGGCCAATACGAATGTCAGATTAGTACTCATCCGCCCAAATTTATTCGTGTTAATTTGCACATAAATGGTAAATTTTTAAAATATATTTACAAATAATGGATTTTATTAATGTTGCATTAGTTTTTTTATGTATAAATTATTCTTTAAAGACAAATTATTATTTTCATGCCTTCATTATAATTTCTATAGAATGAATTATAATTCATCGGTTCATACACATATAAAACTCGTGTTTGCAATAACTTTTTATTTGAAATCTTTTATTTAAATTTTATTTGTTAAAGATTTAATGTATTTTTTATGAATCGAAGTTTTAAATAAAATATTATTTTATAAAAAAAGAACAATAATAATTGTACAATAAAAATATGCTTGTAATTATTGTTCAATAATGAAAAATTTAATTAATGCTGGTATGCTTGATTAAAAAAAATATATCAACTCCATCAGGTATATATAAGGTCATAATAATGAACTCAGAATGCAAATCTACTTAATGCGCTTATTTTATCAAATGAATATTAACTGGTCGAGTAGGGGATGTAATTTTCACATTTACTTATAAAAACCAAAAAAAATTTGTGACTGATCGTTGAAAAATCAGTAACTTGGAAGGTTGTAATGTAGAAGTATGAGAGAAATACATAAACGGGCTCTACCGAACCGGCGGGAGCAACAGCGCTAGCGACAGAAACCCACCGGGGGATCAAATGGAAAACAGGTGAAAGCGCGGAGAACAGCTGCAAAAGTCAACAAGAATTCGTTACGTTTACGTGCAGAGCTTTTCTTTGTATATCTATATACACATTGGAGAGAGAGAGAGAGAGAGAGAGAGAGAGAGAGAGAGAGAAAGCGAAATAGAGAGGGAGAGAGAGATAGACAGAGAAAATAAGTGAAGCGATAGTCTGGCAGGCGACCGATTTACCAAGTTTTCAGCACGAATGAATTTCAACTTTACTGCTGCTACATTTATACATATACAACAAGTCGTCATAGATCTGTGTACGTGAAAAAACTTTTTTCTCTGTAGCTAGCTTTGAACTCTATTTTGATGAATTCATTTTCAAAACGTTGTACACTCCTTCGTGTATGTTAATGAATATTATACCAATACACTCCATGATAGTACTCTTACTTCTGTATTTGAGCTTAAACTTTGCGAAATTATTAATACACAATACTAACAAATGTTTCTTGTTTATAATTTGCAAATCATGACGCATTGTTTTTATAGTATAAATCAATTTAGATTGACTTTTAATTACATTGCAACTAAAACCACAATCTGCGCCAACTCGTAAACGGTGTTTTGAAATTAAAATTGATTTTTTATATTTGATCATAAACAGAACTCACTCAAAATTAGGAGAAAAATTAATTTTTTTATTTTACTTTTTTAAGAAAATTCTCGTGTATAAATTAAATTTAATACCAAACTTGACGTAAACAGTTTAAACTTAAATTAAGTTAATTTACTAATATTATTTTTATAGCACTGCAAGGCATAATGTTCACATTTATGGTACGCTTTTCGCGGTGGCATAAGTCGCACATTCTGGCATCGCAACTTCGCTTCTCACTTTTGCTACACTCGTGCGCTAACCTCACTTCTCGTTACCAGAAAGTGTGACTTATGCATCGGAAAAAGGGGTATACCTAAATGTAAACTTAGCACAGTGCTATAAAATTGCATACAATGCTCGTGTCATTGGGACACTTTTCGACAAAGCTCGTTGCGCTTGGGCCCTAAACTACGCCGTGCTAAAAAGTGTTTATATCATAAATATAATTTACGCCGTACCATTTGTATCGTAAATTACTGAAATTTCGACTATTATAAAAAATGTTGTCAATTTTTTTTATCTATAAGATGTAAGTTTTCATCGTACTTCATGCAAGGGGTGTGGCCTCTGGCTTGTGTTATAATCCTTCGTTTTGCAGAAAAAGTACAATGTCGCCTCGAAGCAAAAAAGTATCTCTTTAAATTCGGAGTCAAAAGAGTGCTTAGTTTCTATTACTAGCATAGGACTTAAGTACGTTATTTCCTTCAAATATAAAAAGATACAAGTAAACGAGTAAAATTATAACAACAGTAAATGCGGTGCCCAATTTGAAAATGTATCAAAAAGATATGGTACATGGTAGTGAGAAACCTCACTTCTATTATCAAGTCAACACTTCACCGATCTCTTCGTCGGCCTCTTCAGAAATGAACCGACTTACTGTTTTCAATAGGTTTGAAAACTTAATCGAACAAAAGAATATAAAGAGATGCTTTTCTGATGCAGGGTGCCAAAGTTGCATACAGTATTTTATGACACAAGATCTTAAATAGCGGGGAAATGGTGATTTTTAGTTTAAAATTTTTCAAAGAATTCTTCATGGTATTCTAGTCTAAAATAACCCTTTCAGCTCTACGTCCAAAACGTAAATAGTAGATTACTTGCTCATACCTTTGAGGAAAAACTCGACTCCGTATCGGCTATTAATTACAATACATTCTTTAATTTTGCAAAGTAACTTTTAATGACTTGATACTCTCTTACTTTTGAATTGATTTAAGATCGAATTTCATGATATGTTGGTTGAAATTTAATCTTGATAAAATTTGAATGGAGATTGCAACATTTTGCAACAAATTGATATCATGCTCAGTAGGGTGTCCGTTGTTGTTTGTATTGCCTCTCTTCCTCTCTCCTTCTCTCCACCTAGATTGGACTCATAATTTTCTTCCGATGAGTAGTTTCATGTTCGAATTATGAAAAATAACGTAAAGTGAAAAGATGAGTAAATTTAAGAATTTAAGGAAGATGATCTATGGGTTTTATCGTCTCGCCCGTGATTGTGTTTGTGACCATCGACGTTCTGAATAAGTGTGGGAGACTGGTGCTGTACAGCTTAAATGGTTTGCTCTGAAAGTTATGAGAATGACTGAAAACGCAAAAGAAAGAAAAATTTAAGAGATCAAGAGTAGGAAAAAGGCTCGTGTAAACAGCTATATCTCGATAGAAAATTTAACTTTTGGAATTTAAAAAAATTCTATATAAAGGGAAAGAGAAATGTTACTAAAAATGGAATGTACATATACATTTTTTATTATAAGGTACTTATGAGCCTTTAAATTTAATTTTAGTTTAAATAAGGTTTACCTTTGGTTTTCCCGCCGAATAATACGTCGGATGCGTTGTCATCTGATTTTTATAATTTTTTTTTCATCATTTTTAGCACTAAGAATCCAATTTCAAGTTTTTTTTTCGTTTTAAAGTACATGTAAACTTGAAACCGTTTGGGGACAGCGTAAATCCATTTTTTCATCACTATTTACCTGCTTTCTCATTTCCTAGTAAAATAGAATACATCTATGTGAGGGATGGGCGAGAGTAGAGAATATTAACAAATCGGGAAGTAACATAATACAGAATAATTTGAAAAGAAGAAATGGTCTCCTCAAAGTCTTCTCTCTTGATGATTTTGAAGGAACAGCTTAACACTCATAATAATATTAAAAAAACGTTTATTTACATTGCAGCACCTTCGGTGAGCATAATAGACGCCATGGGAGAGTTACTGAGAGACAAATATTACGAAGCTGACAGTACCATAGAGCTACTGTGCGTCGTGCGTCACATAGCCATGCAAATGCAGTACAGTGTTGTCCAGTGGCTACATGGTAACCGGACCTTAAATTATGACACCACCAGAGGAGGAATAAGGTAATTTTAAATGTGCGATTGCGTTGATAACATAATGCTTTCCATGTTAAAATTGTTTACAACTGGATGGATACAATAACATTTTTTGAATAAGTTCCGCTACAGCAGTCGAGTTCCTTGTAAAATAAAGCCAGGCGTAATATTCAATTATTAAATTCATTATTATAGATTATGATACCATCGGCCTTGAAAAGTAAGCATATTTACGACATTTAAAGTTGCCTGTCGTCAGATACTGAGCCATTGAATAGTCAATTTAGTTTTATGAACTCGACCTCCAGCTAAGGATAGAATTTATTTTGACTACTTGTATGTTCAATTAAGTAAAAATTATTATTAAAAATAATAGGACACGAATAAGACGACAGCAAGTCTATTTATATCCAATTTTAAAAGTTAAAGATCTGGGGTATTATAGAAATTTGATGTATTATTTTTATGCATCTTACGTGAAAAAGTACGTTTAAATAAAGAATTAGGAATATTGTTTGTTTTTTTTTCAAAAAAACATATATTTTTTACTTTTTTTTACAACCCAATCCTATAAAAATAAAATTGATATACATTGTAACGTTACTTTATTTAGGCCGTTAAATCGATTAACTTGCAAATAATCAAACATTTATTTTCAAAGTAAACCTTTTGAATTTAAATTACTACTGAAAACTCGAAAAAATTACACAAATCTTAAGTGTCTTTGAAAAAAATAAGAACTTTGGTGTAAATGTTGAGTCTTAATAAATTGGCACTAACGATGAAAATATTTTTTAAATGAAAAATACCAGCCGTTATTTAACAATTAAATAAATGGAAAACGTTTGTTTTATTTTTTTTTCTTCATAATAATGAAATTTAAATAATCGAAACCATACCGAATACTATTTTAGCATTTTGTATCTTTTTTTAGTGTAAAAACGAATTTAATGGAAGAGGGAGCTAACTCTACGCTTAGTATAGCGAGGGTTGGGCCAGCTGACAGTGGTAATTACACATGTGTTCTGACTACTATGCCGGATAAACCTGCAACTGTACATGTACACGTTTTAAATGGTGAGTGTAAGATAAAGAATTGAAAATCCTTGAATAATATGTTTTCTGTTTTATTTATGTGGTAAAAAGTTGCGTTTATTGATGGATCCATTTATGCGGACGTAACATGTGGATATGTAATAATTAACTTTTTGGAGAAAGAACTATTTAGAAATAATATTTAAATATATATTTGAAAAATCTGGTTTATAAGTTGTAATATTCACTAGCGGCGTTCCTCGCTCGCTAACGCTCGCTCGGTCTCAGATTGTTTCAAAGAAATTGTAAGAAATATTGGAGGAGTAAGAATATTATAAGACATATTTATGAAATATTTAAATTTTGAACAAATTTAGATGTTGAAACATAATAGAATATAATAGAATCATGTTTATCGATATATTATGTAATTGGTCATGATTCATTGAATACAAAATAACCCAAGAACTTGATAGATTTAACTTAACGAAACATCATTTCTCCTTCTCGTCTTAAATATAGTACAGTGACTTTCTAAAAGGGCTTTAATTTGTACGTCGAAATAGGTCTATGAAAAATTTGGAGATTAGTAGATTTAAAAAATAACTAAATAAAAAATCTGCTACACTTGAGTGGAAAAGAATTTAATTATAAAAATTTTGAGACCTAAAGGATCATTGATTAAATATTGATTAAATATTATCAAAATCATCTTGACAAGGACTTAAAAATTACAAGTCAATATATATGTATCCTGGATGAATTTTAATAATAATAGGATCCACAGACATATTTTTTGTTGTACAAAAACCTGCAAAAACATATGTTATCTTCCGAAACAAAAAATTTTAATATTAATCCTTAATTTTCATGCTTTTGCATTTATAGGCATAAACACAGGTGTGTTTCCTTAAAGAAAGCAATCGTTTACGCTATAGTCGACATAATAAAGGTTTCTGATAAAAAATTTCCATGGCCTGAGAACAACAATCTTTATACTTTAATTTTCGATTCTTTTTTTATTATGAATTTTTTAATTTTCATTTTAGCGATGAAAATCTTTCACAGAATACAGACAAATACTAAAGATCATTGTACCCGTTCACTTGACTTATCTGTAATTATATACTTAAATAACTAACTTGTCTGCTTTTAATTCATAAACATTAATATCTTTTTCTTTTACATTACTTTAAGATAAATAATAATTTTCAAATGTACATTTTTTTCTTGTTCGAAAGTCTAGTTTGATATATTGTTTTCGAATATGGGATTAATGAATTTTTATTAGAATCAACAAATAAAAGAAAGTTCAAGTTCTTCGCCACAAACTCATCCGCGAGAACAGGAGAACAAAAAAATTCCCCGAAGAAGTTTCAACAGGTGCCAGAACGGGGACTCGGTGCACCAGGTCGACGCGTTCAAGATCTCCACCACAAACTCATCCGCGAGAACAGGAGAACAAAAAAATTCCCCGAAGAAGTTTCAACAGGTGCCAGAACGGGGACTCGGTGCACCAGGTCGACGCGTTCAAGATCTCCACCACAAACTCATCCGCGAGAACAGGAGAACAAAAAAATTCCCCGAAGAAGTTTCAACAGGTGCCAGAACGGGGACTCGGTGCACCAGGTCGACGCGTTCAAGATCTCCACCACAAACTCATCCGCGAGAACAGGAGAACAAAAAAATTCCCCGAAGAAGTTTCAACAGGTGCCAGAACGGGGACTCGGTGCACCAGGTCGACGCGTTCAAGATCTCCACCACAAACTCATCCGCGAGAACAGGAGAACAAAAAAATTCCCCGAAGAAGTTTCAACAGGTGCCAGAACGGGGACTCGGTGCACCAGGTCGACGCGTTCAAGATCTCCACCACAAACTCATCCGCGAGAACAGGAGAACAAAAAAATTCCCCGAAGAAGTTTCAACAGGTGCCAGAACGGGGACTCGGTGCACCAGGTCGACGCGTTCAAGATCTCCACCACAAACTCATCCGCGAGAACAGGAGAACAAAAAAATTCCCCGAAGAAGTTTCAACAGGTGCCAGAACGGGGACTCGGTGCACCAGGTCGACGCGTTCAAGATCTCCACCACAAACTCATCCGCGAGAACAGGAGAACAAAAAAATTCCCCGAAGAAGTTTCAACAGGTGCCAGAACGGGGACTCGGTGCACCAGGTCGACGCGTTCAAGATCTCCACCACAAACTCATCCGCGAGAACAGGAGAACAAAAAAATTCCCCGAAGAAGTTTCAACAGGTGCCAGAACGGGGACTCGGTGCACCAGGTCGACGCGTTCAAGATCTCCACCACAAACTCATCCGCGAGAACAGGAGAACAAAAAAATTCCCCGAAGAAGTTTCAACAGGTGCCAGAACGGGGACTCGGTGCACCAGGTCGACGCGTTCAAGTTCTCCACCACAAACTCATCCGCGAGAACACGAGAACAAAAAAATTCCCCGAAGAAGTTTCAACAGGGGCCAGAACGGGCACTTGGTGCACCCCACAAAAGAAGAATGTGTAAAAAATGTAAAAAAAGGCTTAAAACGTGCGAAATCGTAAAAAACGACCAATTTTTTGGATATATATATATATATATATGTACATATATGTACATATATATTATATATTAAATATATATATATATTATATAATATAAACATATATGTATATATATGTTTTTTTTTTTTTTAGAAATCGAAATCAGAAAAATTGGGGACGCAAAAACGTTTAAAAAGTTTTCAAGGAGTAATATATAGGATTTAAAAAATTAAATATTTGATAATTCATACAGATTATAATTTTTTCCTTGCCAGTATTTTCAAATAAAAGGACTTTTACAAAGTCACACAGTTCCAAAATCTTTTCAGTGTCTTATCATTATTTCAGGAGAAAGTCTAGCTGAGCTGCATCATGGTCGTGCCAGCAGCATGAATCATCCGAAAATAAATCCAAGCACATCAACTACGTTGCTGATATTACTTTGGTCTTTTCTAGCATGGATTGTACCTAGATGAAGAATTGCTATACTTACAATAGCATCACTAATGTCTGTGTTGGAAACAAGTTATATCATACAGTGCATAATATCAAGTAACTGAAACAATTGTTACTTAAAAAGACATTCACATATGTACACATGTGGCGTTTTCGAAACTATAAAGTAAATTGTATGAAGTCCCAATCATGCGCTATAAAAATTTTTAAATATATTGTATTCGATATCAGAATTACGTAGGTATCAATAAAATGAGTGTGAATATAAGAAGTGACAGTTGATGTAGGCTTCAAGTAGTAAAGCGAAGTCATAAAATGTGGTTGAATGTGTTGAATACATTTTTAGAGAGCGAATGTTGACATTTTTGAGAATATAGAAAACAATATAATATTATTAAGGAGATGACAGAGTCAGCCCAAAAATCAAAAAATCAAACTCATTTTCAGAAACTTTTACTGGAATTCTTTTTTTTTTTTTTTTAGACTGCATGGGGACTTTGATTTGATGTTCTATAGAGAACCATAAAACCTTTTAAAAAAGGATTGAGGTAAGTTTGAAAAAGGTAGATTGAAAATTTGATTTCGGGCCGGCTCTGTCGTCCCTTTAATAAATGATCATAATAAAAAATTGTGAACAATTTCTCATATGTTCAAATTACGAAACAATTTTGTACTATATAAATATTAATACTATATTAAAAATAAAAAATATGTGAGAAAGATGCATGATCGAATAATAATTTTGTAAATTCAGAATTATTGATTTTGTGTTGGTTAAAAAGTCAAGTTCAAAAATGTTCTATAATAACATACACTAAGTAGACTCTAATTCTGTTGCGTGAAACATAATGGTGAAACTTGTTCAAGCATAGAAATTTCCGGTGTTTTACCTGACAGAATTAATATCCACTTAGTGACCATGCCTACAATTGAGCATAACAATAAATACAATTTTTTCAATATTTTGTCTTGGTACTTTGTTACTTTTACAAATATTTAATTCCTCCACTCTTTCCTCCTTAACAAGAAGACCACCTGAACTGCAGGCCATGGATTTGCTCCAAAAATTTTTAAGGTCTCCTGGTGCCTAATAACGAAACTGTTTGTGCTTAGTTTAATCTCATCAAGCCTTCATCAATAACTTTGGAATGGTTTCAATATTAAAATTATTTCTAATAAAGCATCTATGATAGGTTAGGCAAGCATTCTGAAAAATTTCATTAAGACTTTCAAAAAATACTTCATAAACCTTTGTAATCTTGGTCAAAATTTTCTGAAAATTTCCATGGAAACTTCTAGTACATGCTCTCGGACATGAATGGAGTAAGGATGGGCATGTTACTGCACGATGTCTACGTCATGTCTACGTTACTGCTATATGCCACTTTAGACAGTTCAAAAATAAATAATTTATCTGAGCTTAATTTTAGGTTAAATAGGGGTTTTATTTGAGTCTTTTGCGCTCCCAAAATTACCATGAAAAAAAAAATAGTCACATTCAAATGTAAAATTTCCCGCTACTTTCAAATCTGCAACAAAAAAGGGAGGTTACCGTATCAAAAATCGATTTCGGTTCACTGTAGCTTTGAGGTTACGTTCAAGGCTAAATTCAAGGTTAGACCATTCAATTCCTTGTCAAAAAATACGTCAGATAGGAGGTTTTGAAAGCACACTTTGTGGAACTTTAAAGAGGTTTCGATAGTTTGGTCGCATTTTGTATGTTTCTATTTTCTTTGAAACTTTAAAAGTACCCATGAAGGTCTCTAGTAAATTAAAAAATTTTTTATGACATCAAATTCAAGGTCTGGATCTTCGAAGAAACGGCTATTTTTAAAATTAAGTTAATTTTAAAAAATTAAAAAATTACGTTGGGGCATGGGTTAAAATTTTTTAAATGAGCCCAAATTTTAGGAGAAGTATTTTTTTGATAATTTGAGACTTTTGAAGTGGCGTCACGGGCAATTTGAAAAAATCGATTTTTTTATTATCAGTCTAATGTCACTTATCTGAAATTGCAAGAGGAATAATAGAAGTCTTGAGATGTATGGACGTAAAAATCGTTCAGATAGTCGGCAAAAATCCATCACAGTAAGTGATTGTGTTATAGTATCCATACCTAATGTTAACAAAGCTAAGTCTTGAGGAATATTGTGTAATAATAGTTCGAAAGAAAAGACGGTTAATATAATATAGGAATCAATATGGAATTATTAACAAACAATGCAACAGTCAAAGATACTAATTATTTTATATTCAGTTTTCTTCGTATTTTGTTGCAATCTTCTTTTTCTTATAGATCGGAATTAGATGTTTATGAATAATTGCTTTACAGTAGCAAAATATTAATAGTTAATTTTATTTATATAAATAAAGCTTATCAAAATTAATGTTTATCGATTACATGTTACATAGAAAGTAGCAGCATAGAATCAATGATGCCAGTATTTGACTCTGATATTAGTTCTATGCTAATAAATTGATAATTGATAATAACTTAAAAACTAATTAATCATTCACGAGTGGCATTATATCAGTTCACGAAAATGCCTTAAGTTAATCAGGCATTGCTGGTTTTGCCTAGGCAAAATCTATTGCTTTAGAAATCTCTAGATATCACATCTATATACATATCATTATCTCCTCTCTCTTTTTCATAAATCAAATGTTATTTTAAAAAAATTAATAAAAATAAAATTTAAAACATTCAGTTGTTTACTTGCTAAGAATGAAGGAAAAAATCGCTGGAAAAAAAATTGCAAAAAAAATTCCTCCACCGTGACAATGCTCCCTAACTCGGGAACATTGCCGTGACCAGGATTCGAACCTGGGTTACTACGGCCACAACGTAGGGTCCTAACCACTAGACGATCACGGCTACTGGAGGAGATACCAACTTTCAGCTTGGTAAGTCTATATAAATACGTGTGGTCTAAGAAACCGGTTTCGAGTGTCGGTTAATATATTTTTATTGAGATTAAAGATATGGTAACGCATGCAAACAAGCGTATAAATGAGTATACGAAAAAGAAATACAAATCGTTACATAGACAATCGGCAAAATGATTATCTGCAGTATACTCAGCACCTCTCGTGAAAAGTAGAGAGTGATATCGGATCTGGTCTTTCAAAACTAGAATTCCAAGATCGTAATTGCTAATAATCACGATATTATCATATTCTTGATTCAAGGCTAAAAAATAAGCTCTCGATAGCGCGTACCAACTAGCATAATAGAATAATAAATAAATTGTTTTCGATGCAAATATAAATGCGTGTTTTGTTTTCACATAATATGTACACATCTAATTGACATTACTAATTAACGTTTGATTTCTAATATGATTGTGCCTCCATTAAGTCAGAGATTACCGAAATAATTTTTTTCAAATTTACTTTTATAAAGATACCAGCAAAATAATCTCGACCGAGTTTATATTACTTTCTACTATTTGATATGCAAATAAAAGCTTATCTTTAATACAAACTTTAAAAAAACCTTACTTTGAATGCATTTTTTTTAAAGATTGACGTCCTTGATTCATGATTGAATCATAGAATTGAGATAAAAATAATAGAACCCCGGCAGAATGTGTATGGCTAAGGCTCACATCTTTTTATCATTAGCTGAAATAGAAGAGTTATAACTATTATATTTAATTGATCAATATTAAAATTTTAGTTATTTTATATTAGTGGTCATTTATAAAAACGTAGAATCTATTTAAGTGAAATTCTAGAGATTTCTAAGGTTATTTCATTCATCTGTGTTCATTGGTTATTTCAGGTCGTGTACGAATTTTACCCTCAATAGCCAAACCTTCATATAATATTTTTCATGAAGAAGTCCTTAGCCAATGCATTGACGGTTTTTTATCTTGACTATGCAAAATAGTCTATTGTTTATCAAACCAATTCTTATTAAAATATAAAATATCTTACTATTTTTATACAAGGGTTGAAACATAATTTACGCTTCACAAAAAAGTTTTCTGTAAAATATTCGGTTTTATGCTGAATAAAACAGTGAAATAGAGAGCTATTTTTTTCTTAATAACTCGTCGAAAATAGTACTTTACGATGGTGAATGTTTAATTTGGTTAAAAAATTTATTCAAAATATACATGGGTCAGATTCAGAATTTTTAAAATAAAACCTGCAGACGAGGTCCACGGATTTTCCTGAAATATAGTACATTGAAAAAGGGTCCAATACAAAAATTTTAGACCCCCTCCCTCGTCCTACCCCCCACCCCCGCTATAAACGTCTATTTTCTATTTATATTTATTCTGAAGCCCGAAAGGAATTAAAAAAATCTGAATAAATTCATGAAGGTATTTTTCAACAATCTAAACAACCTTGAATTTTTTCAGATTTTTCGAGTCCTTCAGACCTTCAGAAAAAATAATTGAAAATTTAAATTATTTTATTTTTGGTGAAATGGTTTGATGTACCAGACCAGAGTATTTTTTTCTTAGTTCTGACACCAATACACAATTCCTTGAATTTTTTCAGAATTTTTCATTCATACCGCTGAAGCCTAGAGCTAAAAAACCGGTTTTTTCACAAAAATAATTTTTTAGGGCGGTAAGGAGCCTCAAAAAATCTGAAAAATTTTTTGTCTTATTTTGTTCATCAATAGTATATTACGTGCCTAGGGAGCGAAAAACTGAAAAGCCTCAGAGCACGTGTAATTATCTCCCGAGGCGAAGCCGAGGCTGATAAACATGTGCTCTGAGGCTTTCTTTTTCGTTTCATAGGTGCGTATACTATTTTCCATGAATCCCCCAGCAGAAATTAACTTTTTTGTTTTGGCCGCCGAGGCGAAAAATGTTAGTTTCAGCTGGGGCTGAAAAATTTTTTCAGATTCCTGCTAGAGCCGAAAAACGCGTAATTTGTACTGCTGTTATGATAAGAAAGAATTTTCAATGTTACATGTAAAAATAAATATATTTACTTTGTACACATTTCATAAAAATAATTGATTCAAATCTGTTGTGACGCAACATTTGAGCAGATAACCGGTTTTCTTTTCTAATCGCCTCAGGAACTTTGGAAAAATTACAACCATAATTAATTTTTATGTCATAATAATTAAAACGAAAATTTAATTCACGTGGTTAATAAACAAAAAATGTAGGTTAAGATTTGAGCGTACAAATCCGTGTACAGGATGTCGGTGAAAACACAACTGTCGATTAATTAATATCAAAAGATGACAATATAATAAATTGTATATAGGACGAACGATTGCATCTAATTCAAGAATTGAATGTTACACTGTTGAGTACGTTTTAAAGAAACTAATTTTCCTAATTTCAATCGATTCTTATGATCAATCGTTTATGATAACGATGTAGCTGTCTTGAAAAAAAATTCCGAGAACTTCTAACTTCTACTACAGTAGGAAAAACAGTAATTGGGCATTTTAAAAAATTCAACCGGGTAGACACTCTGGAATTGAGCAGCTTGGTCATTTTGTATGAATTAGATTTTAATAAAGACTTCAG